AAAAATGTAAAAACTATTTTTTAAAATAAACGTACAAATTAATCATTGAACAAATAAAAAATGTTCATATATCATGACCCACCTCGACCTCGAATTCAATAAAGAGGTGTTAGAAAGTTGAAGCCAATCTATTGTTGTTCTAAATTCAACAGAAAAGAGTTTTTGATTTTCGTCTGCATAGTTGAGTTTGATAGTTGTTAGCTTTCGAAGAATTATTATTAGGATAATAAAATTAGGGTCTCGAATTATCGCGTGATATAAATTTTTCGATTTTTACGTCGATCCTTCAGTGATCTTTTCCCATTATATTGATGAAATTATACAAACACTTAGCACGTCTAAACTAAAAAAAATAATTTGTGATGATTATAATATATCTGATTTAATAAAAAAGTCTGCTTGTTTGAATCTTGCAGATTCCTTCCAGATATTTCTATGTTAAAGTTTTCTGCTTTTTCAACTTTTTGGTCTGGCCCAAAGTACATATTGTTAAATATCAAAGGGTTATTTAGAATAGGACATAAAATATCTGAATAATACGCCTCCTCTATATCCTTAGACATAGATAGCATTTTCTTACTAGAAAAGCTGATTTGATGAGACTTTATTAAAAGTAAAGGCAACCTTTGCCTATATTTTCAAAATCGTCAGCTATTTTGCACAATATCTTCAATTTTGAACTGTGGATGATGAATTATATCTATTAATTCATCATACACTTAGGTGGCTAGTAATAATAATGTAAGTTATTCTTTTTGAAATAATATTCTTAGAAAGTAATTTAAAAGTCTAACTTACATATATAATGTTTTCCATCTAGTAAAAAACAATGTTTAGGTGATATTCCTGAAATACAGTGCAAATTCACCGAATGTTCATGACATTTGTTCATTGCTAAAAGGCTTATCAATGATTATTTCATCATCTGATTCCTTGTAACTACTGTTACTGCCACTTTCTTCGTCATTTTCATCAAATTCCGTCACCATTCTATTATATTCACTTGCATCATCATATCTATAAAATATTGTATCATCTTCACTTGCTACTTTGTTTTCCACCTCAAGCTTTATATCATCTTCATCTTCAATTTCCATGTTGATGTCACTTTATTTTCAACATAAATATTCGTTTCAATACAATCATCATTTGTATTGACAGCCATATCTTCTAGAAAAGTAAAAATATAGTGAGAAAAGAACATTTTACTCATATTACAATACAAATAGTGATATTTACCATCCGTTTCAAAACTTCTTTGTTTAGTGCTAAAGATAACTGTGAATATATATTAAATGTGCTATGGCTTGTCTAAATTGATTATTCAAAGAAGAATAAGCGCGTTTATAACGGTTCGCGCATTTGATCTACAATGTTTTTTTTTTTTAAATATAAGATTCTTTAAATAAAAAGAAATTTTAAAAAAATACAAATAAAACCTCGCGTCATTTAAGACCTATCTTTTTTATTGAATCATAAAAATATGGTTTTTAAACGACCAATGAAATTCCAAATTTGGAAACAAAATTTAATTAACAATATATAAGTCTGTTAATTCATCATTATTTGAAATTTCCAGATTTTTCTCGTTTGCAAAATGTAATAAACTAACAAAACATAACGGTACCGAAATATCTTTCATCTCTTTTTGAGGATATTCTTTCTTTAGATCACAAATAACTCCCGAAAATGTCGTATTGTCAGCTAACATTTTCCATATATTTTCCTTCAATTTCTTAACATCGGTTCTTTTTGATACCTTGGCGTATTTGATAGACTCAGGTTTATTTATCTTTGTCTGAATTACCAAATTGTCACCAAATTCGCTCTCTAAGTCGTCATCATAATCATAATCGTTATAAAAACCATCTTCAGTAGTGTAGATAGCTAAATATCAATTTAAAAAGTTAAAGATCTATCTTATCATTATTATTAAAAATTTATTATTGGACTTACTCATATCCGACAAAGCTTCTGAATAAATAATAATTCTTATTAATTCCTAACAAATAATTTTTATAAAACGACTCGAATGCACCTATCATCATCGGAAACGGGCTCGGGCTGTGCTTTATATTGGTGTTTCGAGTTAAGCTACGAAAAAAAATATAATACAATCAAAAAGTGTATATTACGTTCTAAAATATTAATCTCATATAATGAAAGGAAAATTTATAAGCTAATAATTACCATAAATTTAGGTTTTAAGAATAGATGATTGAATTGCTTTGACGAAAAATGCATATCGTCGGGAAGTAGGTGACCATGTGATACTTCCTCAGCTAACTTGGGCGCATTTATCTCATTTCCTCCAGGTGCAAAAGGACTCGCTTATCCATATCCTCTGATCCAATAAAATCAATATAATCCGGTTCCTTTTTCTTTCTCTCCCTTGTCGCTCCAATTTTTGTAATTCCTTTATCTATTTCATATTAAATTTACATATAAAAATTTGTAATTTTAAAAATAAAAAACAGATATTTAATTACCTTTATTTGTTCTTTTTGACTTCCAATGTCAGGACCCGCCCAATTACGTATGAACGCAGAGTCAGAATAATTATACGATTCGTTTTCATTACTGGCCATAGCCATGGCAAAATCTTTTTCTGTCAATCGCGTATCTGGATTCATGTCGACTTCATCGAATACTCCCGAATTTATACCATCACCTTCATCATCGTCATATCTATCAAACCCTTCATCATCGTCATTTCTATCAACTTCATCATCATCATTATGTAGAGTACAATCAACATCTAAAATGCTATCTCTTGACAATGCACTATAATCTTTAGCCAATGTCGTCGTAGTCTATAAAAAATTTCACATTAATATTTTAATTTTTGACAACATCACATGTAATAATATTATTAACCTTTTTAAGAGTACGACTTCTAGGATCAACATCACCATCTCCATCGTTATCATCGTTATCGTCATTTTCTTTGAATTATGTATACCATGTTAGTATTGATATAAAAAGTAAAGTAAAGGTACAATAAATAAAAATTAAAAATTACCGGAGCTATTTGCCAATCCACTTAAAAGTTTTCCTGTTTCTGTTGCTACAGAATCAACGCGTGAAGTGTAAATCTTTACACATCCATCCAAAATACGTGAAGTCTTTTGAAAATTTATAGAATCGCCTTCTTTCAATAATGTCATCTCATGAAAATAATCGATTAATTCAAGCATACAATTATCGTTAGAATTAATTTTCTAATATGGAAAAAAATTTTATTTTATTTTAGCTTAAGTTTGCATGTAAAAATGAATAATGAATAGAATAATTTACGTTATCGGTTGCCATTTTCGTCTATTCTTTAAAATTAGAATACATTTGTTCATCTGGTATCTTTTGATTAGGGGTGACTACATTCAAAGGTTTAATCGAGTTTCTTTGGCCACGTTTTGAATACCGGAGCTAAAAGCTTTTACAGGAGTGCTACTACCTACAGAAACATTTAAGGTTTTGCTTCTTGTTGAGTCTACTAAAGATATTCTACGCGATCCGAGCTCCGAGGCATCGTCATTTAAAGGAACATTCGTTTTGCTGAAGTTTTTTAATGAATGGCGAGGCATATTTCGAAAGTCAGTTTATATTTCACACGCGTTATCGCATTTGATTGTCAATTATTTAATTGGTTAATACTCGAATCACGTGTATATGATTTAGTAATTTGATTGGGCAATAATTTATTTAATATGAAATTAGTCAATTTTTTTTAATTTTACTAATATTTGCATTATAATTAAATTTTATAGACTATTGTATAAGATATTTGTTTAAATTAATTTTTTTTAATAGTTTTGAGTTTTACAAATAAAAGGAAGAAAATTATCAAAAAGAATTTTTTTTTTTTATAAGTTATATATGATTTTTTTTTTTTTTTAATAAAATAAATTTAAATTTAATATTAAATTTTTCTTCTTTCTATTGCAAAGTATCTATATTTGTAATTAAAATATAAATTAAAATAATATAATTGAGTTATAATTTATAATGAAATTTCTATTAAAGTTTTGTTATATATAGCTTTATATAGTTTTTCAGTTTCTTCTTTCTATTCTCAGATATTAATAAAGATATCTGAATTATCTTTTCAATCTTTTAAAATGATTTGTAAAGAAACAGAAGTAGGCATTAGTATTTCTTGTAAATTAAATATAACTTAAGCTTTTTTGTTCTAAAAATTCATTATTATTTCTATTATTATTACATATATATTAAGTATTATTATTATTATTAATATTATTCTAGATATAATTATCATTATTGATCTTTTTTAATTATATTTTTATATAATAGGAATTAAATAGTAATAAATTCATATTTTAGTGCAAACTTGTATAATTATGAGATAAAGTGCTAAATAAATTAGCTGTATTTATTAATATTCACTATATATGATATTTTATGATTTTTTTTTACATTTAGTAATTACAGGAAAATGAATTAAATTCATTTTATTAAGACAAATCTAATGATACTAAATTTATATTCCTATATAAAACTCACAAAATTATGAATTTATAAAAAATATTATCAATTTTTTTCACCTTTACTGTATAACATAAAAAATAAAATTGAAAATTATTAAAATCATAAATAAGTTTTCTTAAGAAAAATGTTGATATAGAATAAAAAATCTTTATTATTTAAATACAAATAATATCATATTTTTTTAAGAAAAGTTAAAATAAATAATAAAAAAAAATATTATTACACTTTTTATTTATTTTATTTTTCTTATTATTATTAAGATTAAATTTTATTATTTTATATAAAATAAATGATAAATAAATATGTTGCATATTTTATAAAAATCACCATAATCATATAATATAAATATTTTAAAAGATTTTGCATAATAAAAAAAAAAAAATAATAATAAAAAATAATTTAATCTTAATCTTGATTATAATCCACTATCCAAAGTTTGAATTCTAATCAAAATCTTAAATATAATTTTTTATTTTACTTTATAAAGTTTAGGAAAACCTATTGTAAATTTAACTAAAAGTATATTAAACAAATAGTATAATTATAAACTTGAAAAATATAAAAATTAATTTAAATATTAAGACTATTACAACTATTTATTCACTATGTTCATTGGAGTTACCAGTTTTTTTCGCTATTTTTGCTTATTAACCTACTTTTTAAATGTTCATCTTTGATAATCGAATCTGTCGTATGAAGAATAAATTATATGCAG